GCTTTATCTCTGTTAATGCGTGACTCCCAAAGTTGATTAGAGGTTGTCATCTCAATCAGCCAGATGGCAGAAATAGCAAAGAAAAGTGCAAATAGGAGGCCTGAGCCAGGACTAAAATTGTCAAATACCACTTCTGCCTACTATATTCTGTAGGATGGAAATTAGCCATGAGATCACATCTAACTGCAAGTGATACTGGGAAATGAAAGCTACCTGTGTGCCCAGAAAGAAGAGTAAAGGCACTTTCTTGAAATACTACTTCTGTCTTGCATAAGAAAGACAAAAGAGTTGATATGGTTTTAATTGAAGTATTTGCAGCAGTATTTTCCAGCATGAGAAAGAAGAAAGGTTAATACCACCTGAGCTGGAAAGTAACTTACGTGGCATAATCAAAACCTGCAGTGAATGTTTAAAAATTTTTTAAATTATAATAAAAGACACATTATCATTAATTCCCTTCTCTTCAAACACACTTATCCCATCTTTTTTGCCACTTTCTGAAGCAGTGCTGGAAGTCCTCTTTCACAGTGTCTTCAGTGGTGCTGTTATAACTGCCTTGATGTCTGGAATTGATTGAAAACATTTATCTTGCATGGTTATTTTGAATTTGCAAGTAATTGCAAATAGATGCACAATGCCAGATCCAGTGAATAAAGTGGATGAAGATATATCCTAATGTTTTCAAGAGCCTGCCTTTCTGTTGGATGGCACTTAGCAACAGCATTCATCATATTTTTATAAAGACAGTCATGAAATAGATTTCCAGAATGGCTTCAGAAAATGGCAAGATCAGTGGGGTAACTGGTTGAAGTGAGAAGAGGTATTTAGGAGGTTATTAATGGTATTATATTTTTTACTTTTAACATATTTTAAACAGTCACCATATGTTTTGATCACACTGCATATAATTAAAAATCTGCTCTCTCGCTCTCTGTCTCTCTCTTTCTCTCTCTCCCTTTTTTCTTTCTCAGGTGAATCTGTGCTATTTTGTATGCTTATATTTCATTCCCTCATGCTCCTGATAACAATAAATTCTCATCGCTCAATCAGCATAGTTTAGAGAGGATGCCTCAGGTAAAAGAAAACAGAGTCTTACCTTAGCCTGGGTCTCCCAAAAATCAGAGTTGGAGGTAATGGTTAATATGTATTTCATTGTAAAATGATTCCACCGAGCAGAAATGAAGGCCTGAGGGATCAGCATAGGTTAAAAAAAGAGAGAGAGACATTACCAAGGTGTTCGCCAGTGCTATGGGGACTGCCCATAAGGGATAGTAAGGGCATTTACCTACTAGTTCATTTGAGGTTTGGTCTTCAAAATGAGTGGAAATATCTTAGGGCTTGGGTGCTGTAACAGTGACTGGGCTACAAAATGGGGATTAGAGGACTTGCACTGGTGTTCATACCATGTCTGATAGTGACAAGCAACCCTGGGCTGGCTACTTGGTATACTTCCACCTCCAGAACTTAGGAATTAAATAAGAATTGAGTCCTCTCTCCAAACTTGAATATATGTAAATCTGAAAGTTCCATGCCCACTTTCCATACGACAAGGAGAAAAACTTCCTGCAAAATCAGGAGACAGACAGAGTGGTGGTGATGTCAAGTGTTAGTTTTAGTACCTGAAGTTCTCAGAGTCACCCTGATTCTTCCTCTCATTCTGTGGCACCCCTCCAATCCATCTAATAAATCATGTGATTAAATATTTGAGTCTAATTTGACTTGGGTTTCTGCCCCTGCAACTGAACAGAAATGTAGAGATTGAGAGGAGAAAGCAGAATGTTACTAACTATATTTCTTCAAATCTGAAAGTGGATGACTTATAGTCATGAGACCAAGTCCACAGCCACTCTCCAATACAAGGGGTCAGACTCAGCATCAGAATCTGCCCTTGACAATAATGTTCCTTGGCTAGTCCATCTACCTGCTCTCTGCTAGTTTAACCTTTGTTCTTCATCGTTTTCCCTCCCTGGCCAGATCTGGGGGGAAGGATCCCATGATAGCTGTCCTACTCCAGCAGAGAGGATCCTTTAAGATCTGGCTTTACTGCCTTTTGATTCAATTTCCAGAGATTCCATAACTAGTCACTAATCCCAGAATATTGCCAAGTCATCTGAATCTGAACTAAACCTGCTCATCCCTAGTACCTTCATTTAAAGGCTCCATTCTGATTTTCGGTCACTGGACACAATACACAGTTCTGGGGCCACACAAATCTACCCTGTCCTCCCAGAAGATTGTGACTTACAGTGGGCAGTGGTGGTGGTTGTTGAAACAGGCCTGTGTGGAGTAGGGACAGAAGAAGAGGTTTGGGAAAGAGCTGAGAAAAGAGACTAACTCCACTTAAACCTCAATTCTTTCCCTGATGCTGGAATTCTTTGGCTGTTTGGAATTCCTTCCCAGAACATGGCAGCATGGAGAGGATCAGACCCTAGCCCTGTGCTTGTGGTCTACTCTCCTCTCTTTTCACCCCAGCCCCATCATGCACCAAGTATGGATATGTGCAAATGTGGGTGGTGAGTGTAGCATGCACATCCCAAGTCCATCAGCACACTTCCACCTCCACAGTGACCCCTTGGCCATCCCTCAAATATCTAAACCAAGAGAAATGGTCTATGCCATCCCTAAGGTAGGCATGGGATAATTTGATCAGCAATTCCAAATCTCAAGGGCCTGAGATGTGGTCTAGAAGTGGGTGTGCAGGTTCCATGTGGGCTTCCTTAGGAGGCCTTGCACTGTGCTAAGGCAGAAGCACAGTCAGAGGAGAGTAGGTGGGCACATGGCAGAGTGTACAGCCTCATTAGGTTTACAGGTATGACTCCCATGTTTGTGTTCCCACCAATTCATATACTAAAATCCTAACCCCCAATAGAATGATACGAGGAGGTGCGGCCTTTGGGAAGTAACAGGGTTTAGAACAGGCCATGAGTGTGGAGCCTCTATGATGAGATTATCTTTATAAGAAGAAAAGGAGATAAGGACTCACTTTTTCCATCCTGTGAGGCTACAAGCAGCAGACAGCCATCCCAGGAATACTATCACCAGATCCCACTAGCATCCAGCCTCGATAACTTGAGAAAGAAATGTCTGCTGTTTAAGGTACTGAATGGGTAGTGTCTGCCTGAGCAGAATAGAACAAAGTGTGGGACCCACCTGGGGTCTAGGATCCGTGGTGCCACACAGACTAGTAGAACTTCCAGGCTGGTTGAGCTAGCCTCCAAATAAAGCCTTTTTGTGACTACTTTGATCAATTTCTGCTACTTACAACTGAAGGAGTCCTTATTAATATACACTGCTTCCATTTTTGAAAAGCACTTCTTCCTACTATAACTTGCTAATTCAACCTTTCTTCCTCTAACACTGTAGTAAACAGTACTCTTGAAGCCATAATGGTGTTTCCTTCATCTTCAATTAGCTGGTCTTTTCCACAACATGTGAGTACATTAAATATTCCTTATTACTGAAAGCCTGTCTTTTTAAACTCTGGAATAATAAGTTGATTATCTTCCTATTTCTCAAATAGTTCCTTTTCAGTAGACTTCTATAGCCCTTGCCCCAACTGTCTATATTCTTCAAAGCTCAACCTTCCTCTTTGGGCTGAAACCTTCTAAAAGCCATTTGCTGGAATTAATTATTTGATTTGCAATAATAATCTCTTATCTTGAAGAACTCATCCATTCTTATACTTCAAAGTATCAACATCCTAAAAATTAACCTCAAACTTCTATGTCTACCCTTGATGGAAATCCTACTTTCAGGACTTTGCCTACTGGGTGCTTACATTTATAGATTTTGGGTTCAATAATATATCTACACTTGATCTTAGCCATCAATTAGATGAATAATACATCTAATAATAATATATCAATAAAGCTGCAATTATCTTGTGTAATTGGGTGTATCCTGTTTTTGTCAGTTTTATCAGTGATTCTTTCTCCTAGACTTTAAACCAGTATTATCTTTTACTCTGTCCATTTTGTCCTTCTTGCCACGATGTCGTACTAAATCTGTCCTTCCAAGATGTTTCTTGTTCATCCATTTTTTGTTCCCCCTCAGAAATCTCTAACTGATCTGTTTTCAGTTTCTATTCTGCTATAGTTTATCTTCATTATTTTATAATAAAAGTTCTTCTAAGATAGAAAGTTTTTCATGACATGTTTTTTCTGGCTTGAAATCTTCCAGTGGATCTCTATGGCCTGAGGAAAAGTCTAAACTCCTTCCTCTTGAGAGTAGGGCTCAGCATTAATCTTCCACTCTCTACAACCCACCCAGGCTCATCTAATCATATTTCCCAAAGCAAATTCCTCATTCCTGTATCCCTGCCTTTATCCCTCTTCTCCATTCTACATCACCCCCCTCTCTACCTGTCAAATTATTGCTGATAAATTTCAAATCCTGGTTCCCGTATAAAAAGTTCACAGTGTTTTCTTCCTTTCTTTTCTCCAATCCTTCTGTCTGGTCTATTTGTTTGACACTTATTAATTTATTGTCTTGCACTGTTGCAAAAATTTGTGGCCATTTAAACTAGATTTTAAATGGTATGAAAACAGAACCTATGTTTCACAATGTGGTTTTTTTTATTATCTTCATTATTACACATTCTATGCTGTGCATGATGGGTAACTTATGGTTTTTTATTTTGCTATTTCTTTATTTTAAAGTAAAAAGTTGTGCTTTACATGAAGTCTTTTTTGTGGTCATAGAGTATCTAGTATTGTGGATGCTGTTGGTGGTAAAAACAAGTTGCTAAAAAACTCATGGAAATTTCACTCTACATTATTAATAAATATCTTCCTTCTTCACACCATTGTCTTTGTTTTTGAAGAACAATAGATTATTTTCCTTTTATAAGAAATAATATCATATTCTGATAAAAAGTTCTCTTGTTTATAAACCTTTTTTACTTTATTGTTCTCTGTGTAATCTTGGATCCTAGCAAAGCTGTGCTTTTGAAGTTTAAAGAGAAAAGAATTAGCAGACACAAATGTACATAACAAAAGACATTATAGTATCCTTCTTTCATTTTATTGAAAAGGAATCATTTCTATTCTAGCGCAAACAATGTATTTTACATCATAAAGCAAGATATAATTTACATATTACACTTCTTATGAGACCTTTATATCATTATGTCATTCCCTTTTTTATTAGGTCACCTCTTCTGGTTTAACTTAATTGCCAAGTGTCCTACAAATCAGCATCTTCTTTTAGGAGGGCCTGGAGACACAGATAATTCACATTGTTCATTTGCATCTGGGTGAATGATGGAACAGAAGTGTGCCCCAAAGTTGATGGTACTGAGACTCTCCTCTGACAGCTGGCTCAAGAGCCAGAATGCTATTCCTCCAAATCACATATCAAAGTTGAACTTTAAAAAAAATCAATAATAAAAGAACAAAACTGAGTGCTTGCTGCCACTATATGTATATTCTTTGATCAAGTGCTCAAATAATAGATGTTTGTAGAATTAGTTAACCAGCAATGAACATTCAGATGACTGATCAGCACTGGTTATTCTGTGTAATACTCAGACACTTCTTACCTAAGGCACTGGATAAAACCCCGTGATTTCCCCTACTATTCACATTTATGGGGTCAGACTTTTCTCTTGGCCATGGAAGTTGATGTATGGATAAAGATTTCAAAGGACTTTGATATGATCCTCTAGCTCTATGATTCTCCCCTTCTAAGATTGTCTTCTAACTTTATCTCCTTCTTAGCAAAACCTTTTTGGGTGTGATTTCTGTTCCTTTCCTATGATACAAATTCTCTTTGAGCTGCACCCTTCCAACTTCACACCCCCAAAGTCAGCAGTCTCTTGCATTAGATTCACTTCCAAATCAAAGAACACCTCAGTTTGTAAGGACATGCTGTTCCTTTGAAACCCAATGGTCCAAAGGAATTAAATGGGACAAAATAATAAGTTGAGAGACTCCTCAGAATCAAGTAGTGTGTGCTGTTCAGCCAGCCTACATGAACCATTCCTAAGAAACATTTTAATAGTGTGTTACAAGAAGAGGGAATCAATTGTTGAAGGCAAAATACATAAGATGGGATTCCTTCTCACTACTGGAAGAAACAGAAACTCAACACATGAAATATATTTTCAAATGGCTTTTTGACTGAAAAAAAAATACCAGCCTTAGCTCAATCTGATATACCAAGGGAAATGCAAATGTGTGTTAAAAGTGCACTTTACACCCTAAATTCCTTGCCCATCACTCAGTACAAAGTTGGTACATTTGGCTAAAATCAATCTAAAGCTTTTTAATCATTGGTAACTAAAATTATTAGAACCAAGTAGGTCAGGCTAAGAATATAAGTTAAAAATGTCTATTCTGTGTGTTTTAAATTATTCTTTGGTCAAATGTTGTGATTTTTGAGATATCTGAAAATATATACCTATATCTCATTTCCAAATACAAGGTTATAAGTATGTACAGCAAGGTAGCATTTCCTTGCAAGAAACAAAGCATCTGGGTGCCATATGATTTCATTGACATTGTACATTTTCATAGTTCCTTTCCTCCCATGGCCACAGAATGCTAGACATACCAAGAACACAGGAAATAATGAAGGAGCAATGAATAGAGCCTCACAACACCCCTGTGAGGTAGGTAAGTATTGTCAAACCCATTTTTAAATAGGTAAACTGAGGCACCACATGGTAATGTAGTTTGGTCAAGTCCACCTGGCAAGTTACAAACATATGTCTGGGAACAAAGAGATAGAAACAAAGAAATATATGTTTTGAATCCCAGCCCTAGATGCTAAGCTTTATTTCAAAATACTAAAAAATAAAATTTCATAATTGCCTTTAAAATTTTGAGAATTTAGACAAACCTTTGTGTATTCCACTTAAACATATGTTTTGCCTTTTATATTTCTGTAGAGTGAAGACAGAGCAGATGACTAAACATCTTTCTCTCACCTAAGTGTAATTCCCATGATAGATCAGAATAGAATTCAGGCTCCAAATTCAGAGACACCTTTATAGTCTCTAACACTTTCTAATTCATTTTAAAGCCCCAATGTGAAAATGAGACCTATTCTTAAACACCTGCCCTGCCAATTGCTCTGTGGCCTTAATGAAAATTTTGTGTAGAATAAAAAAAGAAGCAAGATACCTAATTAACATTTTATCACTGTTGAGATAAAGATAGTAGTGATGAAGTGAAATTTGCTTTTTGTAGTGTTTGAGAAACTGCAATCTCAAGCTTGCAATATTTTATATATATAATATATAAATATATACAGTATTTATATATAAGTGTGCATCTGACTACTCTTAAGGCACCAAAAAGATGTAGCTCATGCCTTTTACAATTCAGTCTTTGTCTTCCTAGAGAAATTTCTCTCCCTCTCTTGAGTGAAAAGTATTTCCTCTATCAAGTTGCCTGTGACAGCAAATTGTTTAAAGATAACAAGTATCTTTAATTTAAGATGGCCAATTGGATAAGGATATAGAGTGGTGTTGATGGTGATATAATAATATATAGCTTAAATCCTAAGTCCATAGTTTATATCTAGAGCTTAGAATTAGCCAGACACAGCCAATCACATTGATTAACAAGCTAGTGACCAGAAATTATACACAATTCTTTTTTTCCAGTAGCTGATGAAAAGCCTTACCATGTCCAACAGACATTGAAATGAGAAGGGGAATCATACTGGGTACACAGTCTTCAACAGACTTTGGCTTTTCAAAAGCTCCTAAAGAGAACTTGGAAGATGACAGAGTAAGGCACTGGGGTTCAAACAGGTTGATGAGGTGACTACAGGTATTTGTTCTGAATATATATGTAATTTCTTTGGCTGCTGAAGATTTTCTGAAAATCTCATACAATTATGGGATGAGTGGGCTGAACCTAACTGAAGAAGCTTGGAGTATATTAAGCAATGCATGAATAGAAGGAAAAACAAAATAAACACATACAGAAACAAATGATGTGATATCCCAGAGGGAGGAGGAACATTTCTTAACTAATTTTCATTTTGCTCCACTCCTGCTTTTTTCTGCCATGGTCCCAATATTTTGGTTCTGTTTTGTTTGTTTGTTTGTTTGTTTTTACTTTTTTTCCAGCGGAAGAAGAAATGACAGAGCAGGATAGGTGTCTTATTGTTTTTGATTTCTTCTTAGGCCTGTTTAATTATTGTTTTTCCTCAGTTGACTGTTGGCACCTGGTTCCTCTGTAAACTATATTCCTTGGCCTTCAGTCTCAGGTTGGCAATGCTGTTGGCCATGTTCACACCCTGTGCAGGGCTATTGTTGGCACATGTGGCAGAATAAGTAGCCATGGCGCTGTAGGGACAAAGGAGAAAGCAGGGAGAATAACAGGCATTAGTTTCACAAAGCTGTGAGTCTGTGCCCCAGATGGTTGTACTCTCAGGAAGGGGGCAGGCAGGGGCAGGGTGCTGGACAAGATGACCTTCACGGCCTCTGACAGCTCCAGCTTCCTGTTACTCTAAGGCTTTTGGGAAAGGGTAGCCATGTTTTGCAGGGCAGGAGAAAGCAGAGGAGAATGAGACAGGAGAGGGAGAGGTATTTGCTAATGTTGAACACAGTGAGTAATGATTTATTTCCAGGGTGACAGAAGAAAATTGCTCAAGTTGAAAAGCAGGTGCGTCTTCATATGGCTAACACAATGCATAATCTCTCTTTCTGCCTACATCAACCAGCCTGTAGGTGAGGAAGAAAAGCAAGCAGTTGATAAACTAAAGAGGATTTTGCTTCTTCATTCTGTATAGCTGACCTTAATTTTAACACTTGTTAGATAATCTATAAATACCATAATAAATAATGTGCTTAGAAAATCAGTTAAAAATAACCAACATAACTTCTCTGCCATTCTTTATTCACTGGTTCATAGTACAAAGGACTGCCAAATTAAGAAATTCCTATCAACCAGGCTTGATTTTCTAATTTCTCCTCAAAAGTACTTTAGAAGTACACATTGCATTTTGGGTCAGTTATTTTGAAAAAGTTAAAAATTTCTAAATAAACTTCAAAAGTCCAAAACTCACACTTCTGACCTCAGAGGCAACTGTTTTTCACTGTCCTTATTGCTCAGAAAATCCTGAAGTTGGCCTGGGGATTTAGCTCAGTGGTTTCAACGCCTGCTATGCAAGCGCTAGGACCCGAGTTTGATCCCTGGTACCAAAAAAAAAAAAAAAGAAAAGAAAAACCTGAAGTTGTTTTTCATTATCAGAAATTATACTTAAAGCCTAAGAAAACAACTGAGCAGAGATGTATCACTGATAGATTTCTGTTAATTGACAGGAGACTCTTATAAAGGAAAAAGAAATGAGGTTGTAGACTTGGCTAAAAATTATTATTTTATACTAAATAGTTAAAAGGAGGTTCATTTGAACTAAATGAAAATGTTTGTAGTTGTTTCTAAGATTAGCAAAATCTCTTTGAACTGAGGGCTGGAATGAGATAGAGTTGAAAATGGAATCACATGTACTTTTCTCTTGTCTTCATTCCAGTGGAATTTTGTCAGCTACATAACAGTTTGTGGTTTTGGAGATCAAGTGACAAGATCAGAAAGAGAAAACTAAAGCTACTCTAAGTGGAGAGAATATATTATTGACAGTTATCTGGGGCACCGCATGATTAGACTCATACTTGCATATTTCAGCTCAGTTACTAGCAATTAACCCGGGAAAATTAAATTAAAGAAATATAATTAGTTCCAGATTACTCTATCTTTCCAGAAATAGTCTTAAAGCATTGGTGTAAATGTGTGGGTGATTTCATGAGAAAGAGAGAGACAGTGTGTGTGTGTGTGTGTGTGTGAGAGAGAGAGAGAGAGAGAGAGAGATAGCAGAAAGACAGAGGCAGAAGAGCACACAGTTAAGGCAAATTTAAATTAGGAGTGAGCTAAAGGGCCAGATAAATTATTGAGGTAGAAAACATTTTTGATTTTTTTAGAGTGCAACAAGAACTGACATTTACAGTATGTTCAAAACTCACATATATATCATCAAGTTCCTAGATGAACTATATGCGTCCATTCAAGACTACTAGAAATATATGTATCCATCAAGCCTATAGGCAAGAAATTTCTAGGATATATCAAGAATCCAAAGAACTAATAGCTAAGAAAAGACATAATTGTATTTAATAAATGCACTTAAGTCATTGATTATTATAAGATCAACCAAGTTAGCCTTTCTCAACCAGGTGTCTGTGAGAGAAGCCCAAAAGACTGTACACACTCATTATCATTTTAAACACATAGGAGACAAGCTGGAATTATGAGATATCAGTATTATTTGATAAGAACTGAGAATAAAATTCAATGGATAAAACTTCATGACAGATCATAAAGAAAAAATTCTCTGGTGATAAATTACAGATTATCATGGTGTATTGTGCTTTTAAGTACTTGACCTAATTTCCTGAGAGATGTTTTTACCATTCTTTGAGATTCTGGACAAGCAAGGTTGTATTTAACAGAAACTCACCCTTTTTTTCATAACCAAAATATGTTTCACATTCTTAGCAAAGGAAATTGGAACTTTAGGATATTATTTTAGTTTACTGAAATTGTTGTTACTATTTTCCAGAAGTGTCTACTATATTGTGATTGCAGTTTTGTCTACAAGATTCATGCTGTAGTCACTGCATCGTCTACTGACTGTATCATCAGATAGTCTAGCCTGGGGACTTATTATTATAACACATTTCTTAGAAATATTGAAGTTTTTCTTTTTAATGAAGGCCAGACAATAATATCTGAAGAGATGAATGTTGATCTATTTTCTTACTTAAAAACAAATAAATGGGAGTGAGGATCACATGTTCCACAGAAGATTGGATATTCTCCAAGACATTTTTCACTTACTGCATTTCCACAGTGGGGAACTGTTTCCTTGTCCAATTATGTGGTGGTGCTGGTATATGAACATCATGGTAGTACTATAATGAGTCTGGGACAATGTTCTATAGGAACCTCTCAACTTAATGGAATGTGAGGATCACAGAGGAATTGATATGAATGCATAACTTTTCCAACTTCCTAAGTGCTCCATAAGTGATTCTGTTTTCACTTGATGTATTTGTAAACTTTCACTTGTTATGTTAATAAACTTTCAAAACCTTGATCTACTTATTCCAGCATTACATGACCCTGGTATGTAGCATAAAAAAACAGAAGCCATCTTAATTTACTGCCTCTCAACAAATGTCTAGAATATACGAGAAACTACAAATAGGGATTTTAATGATATTTTGTGCACATACAAAAAAATTATGTCTATTTTCCTCCAGTAATTGACATGGGTCTAGTTTTGTGACTTGAGCTAAATGTGCCGTATAGGCAATCAGTGGGCAGTCCTTGGATATGCCAGCAACAAACAAGACCAGTTACAGGTCAGAAAAGATAGAATTAATGAGTGACCCCTGTAAGAATAGCTTAGTCATGCTTTAAACATGGCATTAGAAGATGGCAAGGACTTGCTTCCTAAAATGATAACACATGCCAGAAAGCCTTAAATAGCTACCAATCTGAGAAAATATCCATGACCATCTGTTTTCTACATCATGGAAATTTCTTAAGTTCTGTTTCAGGGAAAGAAAGAGAACCTTGAAGTGTCTTGCTACAAGACAGAAATCTACCAGGGCAATTAGCTGTTTCCAACCTATTTATGGAACCATTCAGACTGTGTAAAGTGACTATTCCTTCCTATTCAGGATTAAACTCCCTGGGATAAATAAGACTAAAACTAAGTGATTTTTGTAGGTTAAGTATAGTACAACAACCAAAAGCCTGCTTAATGACAGGAGCCATGTTTTCCTGTCAGCAGGGTGCAGATAGGAACTGAGTCCTAAGGCTGAGTTTATAGAGTTGGCTAAAGCACCATTTTTATTTAATTTTTAGTGAAGCTCCTATATCTGAAACCAAAAATTTACAGTAAGTGCATTGAGACATTAGAGATGAAAATGAAATGCTTGCACCATGTCTGCTGACTCAGCAAGCCTACCCTGGGACTTCCCCAGAGTTTAAGTAAGCTTGAGATCTTTCCATGTCCTTATTTGGAGATTCCTAGCAGATGCAGCTCAGCCACAGAGAGCAGAATGCTGACCCCACCCAAGAGTGGGAGTGCTGTTCTCACAGGTGACAAATCATTTACAATCAATTCAACCTACTCTGAGAGGTTGTAGTGAGGAGGAAATGTGTTAAAATAACTGCCAAATGCTAAATAAGTTCAGAAACGACTATTCATGGCATGATTTTAAAGCCAGAAAACTTAGGGACATCTGTCTCTCTGATTTCAAGTCACCCATGGTGTGAATATTATAAATCACATACAGTTGAGGATGGCTTGAGAAACAAAGTCATTAGCTCAGTTTTCAATTTTAATGTTATTTTCTATTTGTCCTTTTTCATCAAATGATGACAACCTCTTTAAAGTTTCGCTCCAATGATAAATCTGTCCACCCACGAAGTCTGTGGGGTCTTCCTAAGAATAGGAGTTTGATCAGCTCAAGCTTTTTTCAAAGGCTACCGTTTCTGTAATGTGTAGAAGTTGGAGTCCATCTCTTTGGTTTATTCTTTGGTCAATGCAAGAAAATTGGAAGTATTCTTGCTTTGCCCAAGGAAATTCAATACCAGTTTTCCTAGGGAAAATTAAAGTGAGATATCATGAATCATTGTGGAAGTGATTTGGTGTGATTTAAATAGTCATTTCTAACTTTGGTTTTTGAAATTCTGAAGTTAATTTTAATATATATTTAGTTCTTATATGCAGACACACTTAGACCACATCCATAAGCGTTCTATTTGCACTACACATTAAGCAATTCTTCAGCAATGTTTAACTTTTCTTTCTAGAAATGTTTTCATATATACAAAACCTCTTGACACAAAGCCTTTTATTGCCACAAAATTTTGTATTTCTTTTTTTAAATGCACAGTACTTATCTATGGGTTCCAAACACACTTGTGAGATATGTCATTGGAAACTATTACGAGCTCAATTGCAGAAACAAAGAGTACACAAGAAATCAGTGAGCTGACTAGCCTGAGAAAAAATAAGGGCAAGGACAAAAACACAGTTCTGATCCCTGCCTCATACCCTCCAGTCATCTAAAACCTCACTATTCAGTGTGTACTGAGTGTGAACAGGTTTTAGCATCACCTTGGAAAGAAGCCCACCCTAGACCTAGTGAATTGCAGTCAGCCTGAACATAGCCCCAGGTGATAACATGCGCAGCCATCTTTGAGGGGCTCTGCTCTTGACTCTCAATACTACTCTTAATTTTATGAACACATTTTCTTGTAGCTCTGTCTTCTTCCGATATTCCCCAATCAAGGACCTCACTGCTTACATTTCTAGGATTTCACCCCCCCCTTTCTTAAACATACTTAATTCCCCCTTAATCCCTACCCCCAGCAGCCACCCTTCTCCCCCTCTGACAAGTTACCTTTTCAGTGTCTTCCGTTAGAATCCGTTATGAAGCCCCTCGTGTAAACAACATCTTGGGAGGGACGAGGATCTATTTTTGAAAGTGTGAAAGGGAGAAATGAGCCAAATGCGTTCAGCAGATGTCAGGCAGCACCATGACCATGACCAAATCAGGAGGGGAGGAGGAGGAGGTGGAGGAGGAGGAAGAGGGAGGGAGGGAAACTGGACAAGGACAGTCAGCCTCTCTTTCACTTGTCACCAGTTTTCTTTTAAGTCCAGCTCTCCCTGTGGAAATAGTACTGAAGACTAACGCTGCAGAGCCAGCCCATTGGTTATCTACCTTTCCCAGGAAGAGAAATGACTTGAGGAAAGCTTTCTGGGCTACTTCTTTTCAAATAATAGTCAAAAGTCTAAGCCTTGTGTAAGGCTTAACTGCTATCCAAGAGACAAAACACTAGAAGATTAGCAATTCCAGGGATGTGTGTGGTTTATTCTCATAATCTGCTTCAGGAAAATCATTTAGGACTAAGCAGTGGGTGTGCATTCCAAAAGAAATCTTCCTTCAACAAGCCACAGGTAAAGAAGACACCTGGTAGGACAGTAGCATCCCCACTGGGGAATGCTTTGCTGCTCTGGTGACTCAGTTGCTTGCCTGACATCATCATCTGCAACATGCTCAAGAAAATACATGAGGTAATGACATGCTATAATTAGAGTGAACTGTACGTTCAGTTTGTGAGGGACAGTCCTAGCTTATAACCGTTGTCCTAATATAATTATTAATATTACTTCCCTCTCAAAAATATCAGTTTGGGTGATAAATTATACAGCCACCAGTCTGAATGTAAGACACCCAGAAAAAAATGTGTTGGCTATTTCCCAGCTCATAATTCTTAGCATGCACAAATAACTGCTTTTGTTCTTTGGTTTCCATCTTCCAGGGAACAGCTGAGAAAGTCAGCAAGTTGTCCTGTCTGACAGACTTTCTACTCACTCTCTCTGGGCTGCATGACCAACCTACACCCAGCAGTCATCCCAATGGGATGCCCCCATGCCCAGAGTATAGCTCTCAGGCATGCCTCACTGATGGGAGACACACCTTGAATCAAAAAGGGATGCTTAGGTAGTTTTCCAATATTACCACTTTTCCTTACCCCAACAGAATGGAATATTTAATTGGAATGAAAAATATGGTCATTGACCTAATATGTTGGACAGAAACAGGGACCACAAGAACTAGTTCTAATTCTACTTGCTGAAGACTTAAAATTGTGCAAGTGTTCAGTCTTCTCTTCTTTGGAAGTGGAGCAAGAATAGAGCTATCACACAGCAATGTTCCCAAGATTAATCAAGAGAAATGCCTTTTAATGAATGTCACATGTGAAGTAACTAACTTGACATTATAATACCAACAAGAATAGCAAGTTAATTTTCCACAACACAAAAGGTGTATCATTTCCTTTGCTTTTCACCACTTGCTTTACTTAACAATAGTTATATTTCCTAGCACTCTTCAAAGTGGACATCATAATATAATTGATTCTAAACACAGCAGAAAAACCTGCATATAACAGAATAGTGCTTTGTCACTTTTAGCAATTAACCAAAATATAAACACTTGAGCAAACACTGGATTGATTAAATTACCACTTTAAATCATGGCTTTTCTACTTATACTTGGAGATTAATTTATTCTTATTACAGAATATGAACAGTTTCTATGATATTGCTTTAATTAGTTTTTACAAACTCTGAATCTAAGAGAAATTATATATATTTATACCATGAATATAGGCAAAACATAATAGGTTATATGATTTTAAGTGGAAAGAGCAGAATACAAAATAATATGTACACTAAGGCTAAACTTATATAAAATATAGAATTCTAGTCCCGAAAAAGAACAAACTCTTTATGTTAAGATGTGGAATCATGGACATTTTTGAAAATGATTCTAAAACTTCTATATAATCTTTTCAATTAAAAGAGAATATTTCCCCAAAAGGCACACATAGGTTGCCATGTTAATAATTTCAATTAGATGCCCATATATGAAGTACAGACGATGCAGTATGGAGGTTGGATTTCTGCTTTGGTCCAGGTTATATGGCCTGATACTAATTCAGGAAAGACTTCGTGCCCATTTGTGCAGTATGCTATGCTCAGCCTCCTACTGTAAGGACCATGTGGCAGCCGTCTGGACAGTTTACAGCTGGTGTGAAAAGTTCCTAAGGAGTACCAAGCAAAAAAAAAAGAAGTATTCCTTTCTAGTTCTGAGAAAATTCAAACCAGAGATCTTGAAGCATCAGGCTTTGAACTATATCCATTCCATTAGCCATTCAATGAGTCGATAGACTACTGATATTTGTGAGAGAAACAAAGAAGTCTTCTGCTTTTTAAAATATTTAACAATATATGACTTCACAATGGGCTGCAGAATGTGTTTTTAGTACATCCTATGGAAGAAGAGGTCACAGAGATTCAACTAATCTTTAAAACATTAACTAGGACACACATATAAAACTAATCTTTCAAAATGAACAAGGCTGAGGACAAAGTGGGTCCAGAACAAGGCTTTCCTGGGGTGTCCGTATCATATACCAAGACCAAAATTCAGGCTAACTTTACAGCAAGGAATATGAAAGAAGTTCCTAATGCATTTATGGTGTTTCTCTCAGAAACTGATTTGAAACAGAAGGAACAGTTAGGGGGAACTTTGAGCTTGAATTAGAACTATCAACTTTTAGAAAATATTTAAGTATTTGCATTTCACAAATGTGCTTTTTCATGGCCGGGGATATATCTCAGTGACGTAGCACCTGCCTGACAAGTGTGAGACCCTGAGTTTGATTTATGGTACCAAAAAATAAAAATAAAAAACAAAAATGTGCTTTTCACATCAAGGTTCAGCTTCAGCTAGGATATAATCTCCTGTGATTAGTTTAAAATTTGTTCAGACAATAATTAACCTTAATAAAAAGGTAAATAAAAGCATAATAAATGAACTTGCGAATACTTCTTCCAGTGAAATCATCCAGAGAGAGAGAGCTTGTAGCCATGACTTGTTTTCCTAGAGTGCTCAGGGATAAGTTTAAAGAAAGGCACTTGAAGCAATCACAACTTGTTGAGCATGCATGTCTCAGCTTCCCTACTGGTATCACCATGTGTTTTCTGAATAGCATAATAAATGGAGGTTAAGTTTCTCAATGAGATTGAAATATTGCTCTGTTGTTTTCTTCTTCAAAACAGTTCACCTTCTTATATAAAAGTTTAGTGTAAATTATGCATTTGTATTTAAAAGACACACACACCCACGCACACACTGACCCCCAAAGAAATCTCAGGAAGGTAGGTAAGAGTTATCAATAAAATATGAAGGCATTTGGGATTATAAGAAATCCTCACTAACAAAGAAATGAAGTCATGTAAATGATCAGAATGACTTTAGGTTTTCTTTCCTACTCTCTCTCTCTCTCTCTCTCTCTCTCTCTCTCTCACCTTTTCCTTCCCTTTCTCTGCCTTCTGCCCCCCTTTCTTTCTTTTTGTTTTAATTCAAAATCAAATTTACTGTGAAGTTTGCCTTTGATCTTAAACTTAGAGCCTTACATGTCAGTTCCCTGCTTGAGCATTTTAAAACAAATCTATCTTAAATTTGGAAGCGGGGTAGTTCTATCCTGGAATGCTTGCAAGAGGGACACTGGGCACAGCTATTATTAAGTGATCTTTTCTTTGGGATTCTTCCCAATCTTTGAAACCTTCGCAAGAGTTCCTGAGTCCAAGAGGAGATTGCTGATGGCCTGCCCCTCTCTCTTCTGCCCCAAACCCTGCTCCTGGGGCAACTAGGAATCTCCTGTGAAAATGTGGGAATGTCAGCAAGTTGAGTGTCTCTGCAGAGGTTAACCCAGTAGGAAGTTGTCAGCCAGCTGCAGGAGCAGCTTCGAATGTGGCTGACTGCTGAGGAGCATGTGGAAGCGGAGCGAGGGACAGTGAGCCAGTCATTCACCTGTACGGAGAAGCTGTCCCCCAGGAGAGATAATCGGTGGGCCTGGGAGCAGGACGAGGTACGATGGGCTGCTCCACAGCAGTCACATCTCCTGAGTAGGATTTGAGGAGGGAAGCGTTTTTATTGGCCAGCATGGCTCTTTCATTCCTGCGGAACTTGGCTCTTCGGTTCTGAAACCACACCTGAAGATCATTGGGAAGGGAGAAGGGCATGAGGAGAGAGGAAAAACAGAGAAGAGGTTACAGGCATGAAATCCTGGTTGATTTGACTCCTAATATTTTCCTGAGGAGGACACAAGATAGGTATAGAATTCTTCTTAGAATAATAGAAATATGCCATCATTCCTTCACAGCAGGCCCTGCTACAGAGCTCTTACGGGTTAAGACTACATGGGGCAGGGGTGTAGCTCAGTGGCACAGTGTGTGCAACAGTGCGTGCATGGAACCCTGGGTTCAACTCCCAGAACCACAAAACAAAAAGGATCAAGAAGTGCTTCCAGTAATCCAGACTCAGAGACTGGGTTTGTGATGAATCCACAGGACAGCAAAATATGAGTTAAAATCTCCTTTGTAACTATAATCAAGAAAAAGAGGAAAAATCTCATTAGACTTCTCTTAAAAGTCTTAATGATTTTTCTGAAAGTTTTTACAAAATCTTCAAAATGTGAAAACTTTATCTTTCATAATACTCATTAAATATTTTAAGAAACACTTCCATCTTTCCAAAAGTAGACTCTCTGACAAGGACTTAAAAAAAATGATTTATTTGGAAGGTGAAAAAAACACCATGAAGGGAGTACAGGAGCAACAGAAGAAAAGCAACCACCAAACTGTTCCCTGAAACCAGCTACCCCTTGAGGCACAATCCTGCAGGAACTCAGAACACTACGACTGTGGACAGAAGACAAATTCTCAAAGGTATTCCTCTGGAGCGGTGAGGAAACTGAGTATTTGTACACAGGCTTCTATCAATCATTGGTTACTAATGCTCAGTGCTTTGGAAATTCCAAACCTAGGCAGGGAAGTCTCCTGAAGTTCTAGAAAGAAACTACTGGCAGAGAAATGCAGATGCTAAAGGTCAGCAGTTGACTGGACTACATACATTTGTAGGGCTCATGGGAGATGAGTAGCATAAAGAGCATCCACAACAGCTAATAATAAACTTACCATTCATTAAGGGCTACAAGGATTAGGAATTTAGGTAGGCATATGATATACATTATTTATAGTCATCATGACAGTTCCATTTATCAGTTTTTATTATTTCTATTTTAGAAGTGAGGAAACAGTTTCAATGAGATTAAGCTGTTGAAATTTACATAAATAAATGGTTGAGATCGTTGACACAAGAATGTCCAATTTATAACTATATAGCTCTTCTATATATGACATTTTATCCACTCATTTACTCATTCTGAAATTCTTTACAGAGTGAGTATCCAATGTGGTCCAGACCCTGCTCTAAATGTTGGGAAGAGAGATGAGAAAGACTTATTGTCTGCTCTTAAGCAGCTCACAGTTTATTAAAGAAATACACGTACATTTGAAAAATCTGCAAAGCAAATATGCTAGGAGCAATTATAGAAATGTACAACAAGGTACATGGGAGAAACAGTGTGGAGTGAGATCATTGCCCCATCACGATCAGGCAGCAGGAAAGGCCTGAGCGATTCTGGAGGTCTCTGCCCTGGGTTCCGAGACACCAGCTCCTTTGTTCTCAATTAGAGCTATCATTTTAAATATAAATATAACTGTATCAGTGCCCTGCTTGATATCATCCACTGGCTTCCCATTACCAAATAAAATGAAAATGTCTTACAATAGAACAAAGGCAATTCAGGAATTAACTGTGTCCATCAAAGAGCTACACAACTGACCTCCTACACTGGTACTCATCCTTCTCACTCCCACCCTAGACTCGAGTCTTCCTGAGTTCTGCCAAATGGATCCAGTTACTTTCCACCAACACATAATCACACCAGATGCTCCTTCTGCCTATCACATTCTTCCTCTTAGATTTTTGAGATTTGACTTTAATATCACCGTTCTGTCAAGTGTTATACTGGAAGGAACATGACTGTAAGGTCTCACAGAATTGGACAGAAACACTGGCTATACTACTTTAAAGATTTATCCTTGGGTAATTCTTTAGTTTTTATGTCCCATTGCTTCTCAGCCAATTGAGATAATGATACCCACTTACAGGTTGGTGAAGAGAGGTGGACCAGAGTAGCTGCTTAATAAATAGCCCATACCCTTTCCCCCAGGCAGACAGTGCCATTCCTTCTTCTGCTCTGACACTAATTCTTGAATGTTACTTTCATGTAGGAATCATCTTACATATCATAACTTCATGGTTTACACATCCACCTTCTCTGCCTCAGACATACTATCCTTAAGGAGAGGGTTTATATCTTATTCACCCCCAACAAACTCAAAACAGTCTCTCAATAAATATTTGAGGGAAAAAAAGGGGAAAAGGGAGGAAAATGAATCTTGCAAAGATAAATAAAGCCTGGGCACCACCCAAGAGATCTTTGTCATCCAGCAGGGAAGTTTAGCCCACAAACTACTCAGTGTATTACATGTCATGTGTTGATGAATATTTTAAATATAAATAAGCCCCAACCCAGAATGGATTGGTTCAGACTGGGAAAGGGTAGGACTGAATGGAAAATGAATAAAGTCATGGAGGGACTATTCTATCCTACTCACAAATATTCACAGTACCAAAAGTCTTTAGTGCATTAGTCATTAGTAGGGAAGGGGGAAGAAAAAATAATTTCAACACATATATTTTAGTATAATATCTATTTATCATTACATATAATTATTCTACTATATTTAATTTTTATATTATATCAACATCTATTTATTAGATATTAAATATATTGATATATAATAGGTGGGTATATAAATGTATATTTTTGATATATAGCAACTTATCTCTACATGTATATATTATAAAATAAAGGCATTTGCCTGTTATGATAGGACCAAGACGGTCCTCCGATCCAAAAAGTACTCTCATATTTTTCACTTCTACCTTTTCACTATCCAGGTTTTCTTCTTTAGGTTTCAGATCACCTTGATAAAAGTGGTACTTTACAGTACTGTGGCTTACTAGTGGTCTAAGGTTATGCACTGCACTGTGACTGAGGTTGGGGATAAGAGTTATGGGGAGTTTCAGGAGACCAGGATGGACTCAGAAGCTTAGGAGTGGGGTGTGAAAAGTAGCTTGGGAGAAGACGTCTGCCCTGGTGGAGTGGAAAGGAGAGGGTTGAGCTCTTTCCCTGTGGATCTCTTGCCTGAGCTTTAGGTGCTGCCACCCTGACTCACACTTCCTTCTCATCTCTCCTCAGGGACCCCAGGGGAACCAGAGAGCTTTCCTCTTTTGTCACTGGCAGTTTTCCTCCTGTCTCTTGGGGAACACTTTTAGGTTTCACCATGTTCTTTCATGGGGAAACATCTGTCGCTCTTCCTCTTCAGGCTGAAGGGTCCTCTAGGACCTCCCATCAACTCAAGGAATGTCCCTCATGGTGCGCTGCACCTTGTGACTCCAAAGTCCTGCCCTAGTCAAGATCCTTGTATTAGCTTGATTCCCAGTCAGTCTATAGAGTGATCATTTCCAGAAAGAAATCCCCCCAAACACCAAATGACAGAAATACAAACAATACTTTCTTTAGGAAGACAAGACAGATTTAACCACCCTCCTTATCAAAACAGCAGTTGACCATTGGTGATATGGAAGACAAGATCTTTCTGCAGAGATAACAGCACTTCTTGAGAAAGCATTTGGCCAGAAGCCTCATTTATTCAAAGTCTATTGTGTTGGGTCTTCACATCTGCATTTAAATCCTATTTCTACCACTTCCTAGCAGTATAACTTTGTGTCAAATACTTTAACCTTTCTGTGCTTCAGTTTCCTCATCTGCAGGATGAAACATCATTGAATTGATGTCAGGATAAATGACTTAGCTATGTGAAGAACGTGACTTGAGACATAAGGACTCAAATAGTGTTAGTTACTGTGCTGTTATCACCATTGTTAACGGTAATCACAGTTTGTATTATTTTCAAAATGTCTATCTTGCACTGGATGTGTCATGGCATGGATGTTAGAGAGGACTGTTACTCTCTCTTCACCTTATCTTGCATGTTTTTACCCTTTTTCACTTCAAACATTCTGAGGATATACAAAGTCATCTGCTGGAATGCGCTCCTGACTCAGTTTCTCAGTATTCATCTCCCACTTCCACTGGCATTGACAATCATGTATGCCTACCACAAGTTTCTGGAAAGGCTGCACATCTCCAAGGGCTAGACAAGAAGACTGAGGTGGGGAATAGTTACTCTCTTTGGTCACCACACAGCTCAAGTTGAAAGCTGGGGATGCAAAGTCAAATCCTCAGATGAATGATCCATAAAACATAAATCTGGAAGGGGAAAATCGATGGGGAGGAGGTGGAGCAAGGAATGTTCTGTCCTCTCTACAGACATTCAATTTGATTTTTAAAATAGTATGCAGCCCATAAAGTACAGTTGGAAATGAGGCTGTCCTTGTGCTGTCCATTTGTAACCTGCATTAGGACCGCCTCCAGCCTGAAACCTACAACTAGTCTTTTTAAAGTCTTCCGAGATGCACTTCTGTGAAGGAAATGCTCGGTGCCTGCCACTCAGCGCAAGTTACCTGCACTCTGGCCTCAGTGAGGTTCACCCGGCGGGCAAGATCTTCTCGCACAAAAGCATCAGGGTAGTGTGTCCGCTCAAAGACACGCTCCAAAGCCTGCAGCTGACTGCTGTTGAAGGTTGTCCTGTTCCTTCGTTGCTTTCTCTTCTTTTTCTCCTCTGAGTTCAGCTGATCATCTGGAGTAGAAGAAATGGGTAAGAAGCCAACTCACTTCAGAGAGCCCACTGAATACATTTTTGTGCAATTATCTATAGTTGCTCACATCTATCTAAAGATGCTCACATATTTATCAAAGTACTAAGGCCAAGTGCCACTTCTCTTGTGCACATGTTGGCATTGATGCTCACAAGAAACCCCAGGAGTTCTGATGATTGTTGCTCCTAAAAACAAGACCAGGCAGGAATGGATTGTCAGAGAGACACTACTTTCATGTTCCTTTGAGGCCTGTTCTGTCAAAAGAGCTAAAGGAGACTCTAGCTCTGCATATGTTTTCTGGATTTGGATGTTGGTAGTGATGGAGGAAGGAGAGTAGATTGCTTTGTACCTTATGTCTCAGACAATTTTATGTTCACTTGCATAGTTGCGTAATGAAGCAGATCGGCTATTTCCTGGTTCTTTCTCCTCAACATATACTCATGAACACAATGCACAGTTATAGAGAAGAAGCCATACTCAAACCAAATCCGAGGAGTCTTTGTCTTACCCGGCATTCTCCCAGAGGCACTGAGTGCTCCCTGCTGTTGCTAAGACAGGCTCCTGGGGGCTGCAGTTTAGATCAGGGCTAGTGCCACAGCACCACCTACTCAAGCTAACATTAGCTTGCAACTCGCCCTATAAGAGCCCAAGAACAAGGAACAAGATGCTGAGATCTCTCAGCTGGTTTCACTCAAACTTGAGTTCTAGGGTCCTGACAACTTAGGGACCTCTAGAGAATCACAACCCCAAGTTTTTAACCTGTCAGAGTCTCCTCCCACTTCCCGATTTGCCCTGAGTTCTCTTGAAGACATTTTGGCAAGCTAATCATTCAGCCAGCCCCAGGCAGCGAGGCAGTCAGAGAGTAACATGCCCCCATCCTCCCCTGGACAAGAGTGATGGATTGTGCGGCTGAGTGGAACACCAGCTGTGTTAACACCACCAACAAACCATCACCTAAAGTCCAGAGTCGCCCCAGAGCCTGTGTAGCTTGCAGAGATTTACAGCAATGAGCTGCCCAGGTCACGGCAGAGGGTCTCTCAGATGAACTGAACTTATATTTCTAACAGTTTCTCCCCAGAAAGGCTCAGCCCAAACCAAATTATAAGGAGCTAAAGTGAGGATGGGGGAAGGAGAACTTGGCCTCTTGCTCCATATTCAAAAGAAAGTAGCTGTTAGGGTTTTATTTCTAATACAGTACGTAGGGTTTCCTAATCTTCTGTGATCATAAATGAATATACAATATATTCAACAAAGCTACTAGCACAAAGCAGGATGTCCTGAGAATAACAGCACGTACCTTAGCTATAATATTACACATTAGAGCATGTTCTAGATTTATGTATGGACTCAAAATGCAGCTTAAGTCCAGAAACTTGTAAGCCAGATCTCTCGGTGCTTGACAGCTGAGATCTCTTGAGTCTTTCTGCTCTAGACCCCTTCCCCCTCGGCGCTGCTACATCAAACCCAGGGAGCCCAGGACAGAGACAGCACATTTACTTTTGGTAATCAAACCACCAAGGTCCAGTAAGTGCCTGTAGAGTTCGTTTTCCCAGGAAACATGAAACTTTTCTTGTCCTTAGAAGACTGTTTCTGTAGAAAAAAATTCATACGTTGCCCCCTATATTTCTCCAGCCAAGAAGCTCCTGTCAGTCATTATCTCTGCTTTGTTTCTGTGCTCAGTTGACCACCTCTTTGATTTTTCATATCTTTTGTACCTCAGCTAGGAGCCGTGCTTTGATGGCACTTCTGTCACGTTCTCAATAAGAATGTCACATCACCCACATCTTGAGAATGAAGCCAATTTAATAATTTCTGGGGTCTCTCCAAGCCCAGAATATTCCAACCCACACACTGGTCATACCCCTATTCAGCTATTAGCAAAATTAGTTTACAATAATGTTGACATCAGAATTCAAACACCTAGGATTGAGTACCTCTTGGCAGTTATCTTGCATTTGTATTATCCTCACTATTTAAATATTTGAAAGCATTTATCTTGTTTCAGTTCTTTTTTCTGAATCTTTTTATCCACAGTTCCTCATGTTTTGCATGTCAGATTTTTCTGGGTTTTCCAGGCCTTTGAGACAGTGCCATAAACTGAGGTTCTTGTCCCCATTAAACAGAAATCTTCAAGAATAAATCTTTAACTTCCATACTTTTGTCAAACTGAGACTATTTAGGCCTCCAGGCTATTACTTTTAATCAAATAAAGGAAATCCCTTATTAAGCTAATCTCATGATTTGTTTGCTTCTCTCAAAGAAAATTCTTTCTCAGGTATAACCACAAATTTTAAATCCTTTATGCTGTTTCATAAGCCTATTTCTTCTTGGACAGGCAAACTATGATCAAGACCAAGAATATTTTATGTTCTGTTCTTAGTGCTACAACCTGCTACATAATCTCCCAGTAGTTTTTTTGAAATCTTCCACTGTTAATTCAAATTCCTCTGACTGTCCACCATAAACCACCAACTCCCCTGATGTGGCAATAAGGGAAATGGAGAATTATAGTTTATGACAGGGAATAAATAGCTATGATGACCTGAAATGATTCCAGAAAAAGTTTCCCAGTGAATGTTCTTGTTGTTTTTAACAAATGAAAACATCAGTCCAGATCATGTTGAAGGTGAGAAAAGACACTCAAATAACAGGGGTCCCAGGAGTCTGGGTCTGGCAAATGTCCTTCAAAGTGCAGTGTAATAGAAAGAGACAATGAGTGGGCAGCAGAGACAGCTTGAGCAGCAGCCCTCTACCTTGTCTGTCTTTGCTCACTGATCATACACTGCGAGCTCCCTGTTTTCCCCTTGAACGCAAAAGAACAGGACCAGCTCAATATCTTCAGCAGCATAAACACTGTGGAAGTTCACTAATGCAGGGCATCTGAAAGACCTGCGATAAACACATTTATCAGATTCTGGGCCCTGGTTGAACACAAAGGAAAGAAACCAGTGTACTTTTATCACTGCAGGAAGATCATCATTCTTATTAAAACAGCTACAGTGACATTTGATTTTGAAACATGCTGTCCAAGGACACTATGTCCAATCAGACATTAGGCTGCATGTTGTTATCCTTTGGTTAGGGTTCATCAAGCAGCACAGCAACTATGTATTATGAATGGATTTTTATCCATTTATACTTCATCTAAGGTACATAGGGATTTTATAATTATATTGGCTTAAATAACTTGCAAGTATCCAGTTATTGCCACTCTTTTAGCAAAAATAGGCAAATGGCCTTATGAACAGGTGTGGTCTCACTTGGAATCATGTGTCATAAAATATTAGCACTAAATAGGAGCCAACATGTTGTCTAATCTAACCCTTTTATTTTACAGCTGAGGTAAATGAGAGCTAGAAGGATAATGTGACTTGCTGGACAATGAAAGTTTGGGACTTCTAGCCAGAATTAAAAGCCAGAAAACCTAATTCCATTCCATTCTTAAGTGCAAATGACAATATCCATGCCATGTAAGAAACAAACAATAAAACATCAGAAATATAAACAAGAACCACTACCCAGGGAAAATATTTGTAGGAAAGTCAGCTTTTTCCATACTAGCTATTAAAAAGAGGACCTAAGAAAGAGGACTGATGTATATCACATGTTGTTCCCACTAGAATAGCCAATACAAGTGCATCAGCCCTCATAGAGAATATCTGTTTTGATCCAGATGCTCTTGCTTTTTCTTTTCAACTGCCTCTGTAAGTCTGTGTGGGGTTACTTTAGCACTGTAGTGTCCCCTGTCTTTCACCTTTTCCACACAACTCTGACATTTCTCGTTCATTTCAAGATACAGTTCAAAATCTGTTTCCCAAGACACATCTCAAACCTTTCCTCCTCTATCAAACTTTGCTGATAACTCCAGGCAACATTGATCTGTCCCTTCTCCAATGTGTGTGTGTGTGTGTGTGTGTGTGTGTGTGTTTGTGTGTGTGTGTGTGTGTGTGTTTATCCTATCAAATACTTCTTACAATTATGGTCCAACCCTTTCTATGTAAATGTTTTGTCAGCTAAATGTATTCGGGTATTCCTATAGGAAAGAGAAAGGTTCCTTGATAAATTAAGTTACAATAAAAGTTGGAAGAGTTAAACAGTACTTTTGTGGAATAGGAATCCCAGAATATTACAACTTTAGTGCTTCATCTGCAGTCCTAAAGGGCTGAGCGATTTCTGAATTCCAATTATTCTTTTTAATAATGCAAAGCAAATAATTAAGTCATTTTATTTTGGGCTCTAGTTAATTTTAACTGCAGAGGAAAACATAAACATTTTATAGGGTTTCTTTTTCAGAGAGATTGGTCCTCACATGTAAAGAGGGAAAAAGAGCTCCACAGTCTCACTGCTTTGAAAATGTGGGAATGATCCTGTATTTTTATCACTTACATGAAAAACAGCTCCAGGACGAAGGAATAATTTAAAGAAACAGGAACACATACAAGGGAGAGATGTTAAAGAGAATGCTGTTTCCAGTGGGTCAGGATGTTAGCAAACACCCAAAGCATTTCTCAAAGAGAGGCCCTAAGCCCAAGGTGGGATGTCCATGTGCATTCAAATATGACTTAGACATAAGTGGTTGCACATTGAGGCAATACTCTTAGGTGAAATAAATAGGACAAAAATGTGTAAATACCGAATAGTTTCTCTGGTGTGAGAAACTGAAAGTGTAAATAAGGACTAAATGTATAATAGGTAATGTGAAATAGGAAGAAAAGGGGCAAAGGGGAAGGAAGTGGGAGGGCTAGGGGAAAGGATAGAAGGGAATGGGATTAATATGAGAAAATGGAAAAATAGGAACAAAATCTTTGTAAATAGGGAGGACTGGAGGGGTTGAAGGGAGGGCTGGGCAAGGGTGAGAAATAAGAACCAAGAGAGATTATGTAAAGGTGCAAATTTCCAATGATGAATGTCATTATATTGTATACCTAAAATGTACCAATCATTAGAATGAATAATCGATAATGTAAAATAGGAAGAAAAGGTCCAAAGGGGTAGGGGTAGTGGGAGGGGCAGGGGAAAGGAAAGAAGGGAAAGGAAAAATGATGAGAAATGGAAAAAATGGAAATAAAGTCTTTGTCAATAGGGAAGGGTGGAGGGCATGAAGGGAGGGCTAGGAATGGGGAAAAAAATAAGAACCAAGATGCATTATGTAAAGGTACAATTACCAATGAGAAATTAATTGTGTTGTATACCTACAATGTACCAATAAAAGAATTTAATACAAAAAAAGTGCAAAAAAAATATGACTTAGACAACCCCAGCCCTGCCCCTGGCTCTAGGATAGGCTTGCTCTGGACTTCTAATGCCTGCTGAAGGTGCATTAGCACAAAGTGACACTTCCAGCATGCAGACCAGGCTATATCGTGATCCTTACTCACTAAGGCTTCAGTTAGCAAGAGAAGTCCCTAACCCCCTCCTGCTCTACATTCTGTGGGAGGAACCTTGGCAATCCCAAATCAATAGTCAGGCAGTTATAATTTAAAGGTACAGTAAAGACAAAGTTTAGGAATAAAATCAGGAGAAAAAAGTTTCCTCTGCCTGAATCACATCAATTTGGGAAGAAGTCTGGTGCAAGAAGATAAAATGCCAGCTTCAGTAGCAGAAACCAACCACCACATCAAAGCTTGTCATCTGCCTTTTGGTTGAAAACATGGCAGGCGAGCAGATCTAAAGTGCAGCCCACTGATCACTTTATGGGCATTGAAGAATGTTTTCAAAGGAACTTATGTTGCACAACAGCCACTTATTTTAATGGGATTTGTGTGGTTCAGGGCCCGTAACCTTTGGAAAATTGAAAGGAAGTATAATTGCAAAAGCCACTAAAAACTATTTAGCTTTTATCGCAAGGCCTGTGAAAAGCAGCAAGACACAGCTATGGCATTCATTTGTGTTTCTTTGGTTACACTTAGCTTTAACTGAGATTAGTACTTCATCCTTTTAATATATGTCCTAATAAATGGCACACAGGTCACTAACTGGGAAGCCTGTTGCTGCATAAATGGAGCTCAGCACATCACAACGACCAAAGCTGAGTTCAGCAGCACATGCAAGCCTGCTCAACAGCATAGTCCAAGGGTCCTCTTTCTCTGTGTGACAGATCTCTGCCAACACATACACCCAGTGCAGCTATTGTTCACTGCATGCCACGTCATCACATTATAATCGCCAGGCCTGAACTTTGTATGGTGCCATTAGATGTGTGGGTGCATTCTCTCCTTTATTGTGAACTCAGCATAGATTTGGCTTATTTTTAGTCAGGTCTCCATCTAAAATTTGGAAAATTCCATCAAAACACCTTAAATGTAACCTGGGGGATGACAAATGCGTTGTTGGGGAGAATAAAATGCCTTCAAAGGTATTTTTAAAAAACAACATTATCTTGAATGGTTGTGACCAACAAGATGAACCAGTGGCCCTCTGCGAAGTTTCTGTGGCTCTGTACAGACACTGCTCACGGTTTGGCTCTGTCATTATAGCCATCCTTTCTTGAAAGCAGAAAACACTAAAGAATGTGAAGTTCTTTAGTCCTTGGTATGATTTGTACTGCGTTTGACTTCTTCACCTCATATATTTCTTTTCAAATTCTTTAGGGAAAATACATTGCCATGGAGCTAAAAATGTTAACACAATTCCTATCATTGTATCTGCTTTAATTATCCAAAGACTTTTTCTCCAAAGATTAATGATCAGAACCCCCGAAGACTCCCAGCATACAGCAGGTCCTCCCATGCACCCCGGCATCAGAGCTCTAGGTCTCTTCTTCTGTGGCAGTGTTGATGGTTTCTCCCATGCTGGTATTTTCCCCATGACTGAGAGTCTGTAACTCCAGAGCACAACATTTGTGTTTATATTTAATGGAAACTCTTCTCAATGTTGAGTAAATATAAACTCATAATCAGGTATGCAGCAGTCATACATTACTATTCTTGTGGTAGGAGTTGAGTTATTGGATAGAATACCTTGTCTTTGATAAACACATAAAATCTTGACTTCACACAGAATTCACCATGGGTAAATCATTTATTTATTTTTTAAATCACTACGGGATGCAAAAAAAGTAGAAAAATTAGAATCTTTATTGGATCCAATTAACTGTAATAGGAAAGGATCCAACTAACTATAATAGGAGAGGAAACAGTGCAACAGAGAAGTACAAACTAAACCAGCTTAAAAATTAGGATAACCTCTGTTCTTATATCCCCTGGCCTCAGACAATATACTTTGTTTCTGAGCCTCAGTTTTCTTCTCTTTTCTTTCTTTCTTTTTCTCCCCCACCTTCTTCTCCTCCTTCTTCTTCTATAATGGAGACTGAACTCAAGATTGTTCCACTTAGCTACTTTCCCTACAGTTTTTTTCCTTATATTTCAAGACAGAATCTTACTAAATTGCTAAATTTTCCAAGCTGGGCCTGGATTTGAGATCCTCCTGCCTCAGTCTCCCAAGAGTGCTGGAATTAGCAGGCACACACCATCATACCTAGCTGAGCCTCAAATGCCAAAACAATAAAATAAGCTTACTTACTTCTAAGGGTCATTTGAGGATTTAATGAACACATCATAGGCTCATAGTCTGGCACAGAGTAAGCATTGGTAAGTGTGGAAATTACCACTGTTGCTGTAATTTCTCCTTGGAAATGTACTAGCTAAAATCATTGCTACTCTTCCTTTTTTCTTTAGCTCACTACTATGTTATCTCTGAATAACTGGAGAGAAAGCAAGAAAGCCATTCAAATATATTAGCATATCCTCGCCAGGTTTGATGGAGATCCTTACTGAGAACTAGGGAGCTGGTAAGTGAGTAAAGGTTTAAAAATCAGCAGGAACTGAGGTAAGGTGGCAGACTGTAAATTGTATAAAGAAATCACACATAGATGTTTGTCCCAAAAGCTCCATTTGGGATACTTTTCTGCTATTAGTCAACTCCTGGCTTTCTACCAAGCCAGTTTTTTGTTCTAAATTTAAATTTTGAGAAGAAATATTCAGAAAGCAAGTAGATTCTAGCATTCGGATGTGTAGAAATTGATACATTTAACAACCTCACTAGAAATTAACTTTTGTTTTTAAACATAGGAAAAGGTAGAAGGCAGCCAGTGTTAAAGACAAGCTATGAATATTCAATTATTTCCCCATCCTATTTGCTTTGAATGAACTAATTTGGTTGCCACATGTCTAAAACCATAAAAGTTAGATTACATTACTCAATATTTTCTAGTGACTTTTAAAAATGTCTGAGCTTTTGGGAAATTCCAAAAAATAAAAAGAAACCAAAGAAGACAAAGTTCAGGGAAAAAATGAATTCTGAGTGAGATTTGAAAAGCTTTCTAAACTTGCAATATTTCAGAGTGTGTGGTCCCCTTGGAAGTGTGTGGTTTTTGACTTGGGTAGCAAATGAAGTTCTGGATAAGGTGTATGCTTGACCCTTCTTCTGGTGATATGTTTTTCTTTGTTGTAAAAATATCATCACATTGTAAGAGACAACATTGATTACGACATTACCAGTAGAGACTGGCATCTTATGTGAAGCAACTACCAGATGTTATTTTTAAAAAATTATTCCTTTATTTCAGTTATAATTTTAATGTTATAAAAAATTACATAAAAATATGTTTTTTAAAAAACATTCCTGGGAGCAGACAGCAGTAAAGGAGATGTACGTAATTAATGAGTAAGCTTGGCTTTTGGAAGGACAGGAGTAATGGAAAAGGCTGGGCTCTTCTGCCTGGATAAAATAACAGTAATTACGAGGCATTTAAACTCTTGAGACTAGATGAATAACCTGTATTTCTTCATAATTTTTTACTCTTATGTTAAAAAGACAACATGCCTGGAATAAAAATACCACAGGGAATAGGAATTACCTTTCTTTTATTACAATAAGAGATAGAAGCAAGGATAATTTTCTAACACATGGAAATGAATGGCAAGGTGTAAAGAGAAAGGGAAACTTTCTCTCTGTTGTTACTCTTATCTTGGACACCTAAACAATCTGAAGACAGAAACACACTAATGTTATCAACATAAGAAGCTTGTCATTCAAAAATACTATTTAGGTAAAAGAAAATTAAAATTCTCTTTAAAGAGCAAGAGAAGCCAAAATGTAAATAGTGGCTTAAAGTGTGAACTTTGGGGTGGGAGGTACTATTTTGCAATATCTCTGTGAAATGAGTTGGTGTCTTAATGAGCTTAGGCTCCAATTTTTAAAATGCTATAGATTGGGTAGTTTAAGCAACAGAAATTGCTTTCTCACAGTTTGGAAGCTGGGAAGTCTTAGGATTTGGGTGCTGACTTATTTGGTTCCTGGTGAGGATTCTTTCCTGGCTTGCAAACAACTGTCTTCTTAATGTGTCCTCACATGGCACACACACAAACACACACAGCAGGTGGGGTGGGGGATAGAGTTCTGTTCTCTTCTTATGAGGGCACTAATTCCATCATGAAAACCCCACCCTCATGACCTCATTTAAACCTAATTACTTTCCAAATGTCTCACTTTCACATAACATCACATTGACGGTCATGGCTTCAACCCATGACATTTGGGAGAATACAAACATTCACTTTATGACAATTGAGTGAAGATACAAATAATATGTATATTTTTAAATGATACAAATTATAGCAACTGGTTATACAGATTTCCTTTTACTTGATTTAAAGCATATTTTATATCAGGTATTACAGAATAGTTGTGGAAATGTCTATGGCTTGGGAAACAAGAGGTTCAGATTCTAATTCAGAGGAGTTACTGAGCAACTCTGAGATGTTAGCCCTGTGTCCTGAATGATGTACAATCATAGATTAGACTTTGTTATTAAGATCTCTTTCAAATCCAGCATTGTGCAGTTTTTTCATTGATTGTTTTTTCATTTCCAGTATCTAGCCCAATAGAAAACTTCCAGTAATTATGTTTTAAATTATGTCCTTTTGGTGGTGGTGGTTTTTATTTTTTGGTTTTGTATGTTTATTTTTTGTTTTAAAACCTTGGCTACATTACAAATTGGATAAAGACTGTGCTATAATTACCATATCTTAGGTGATTGACATATTCCTCCATTTCCAAAGCCCTCTTCAGTTGACTGAAATTAATATGAACTATTTTATGAAAAGTTTGTTTACCTAAAATTATAGTCTAGAGAAAGAAGAAGCCTAAGAAGCTTCTAAGAGTCAGTTATTTAATCCCCTAAATTAATTTAAAAAAAGAAAACATAATGACATTGTTCTTTTTTCTTCTACCATCCTCGACCTCCTAATCTCAGGTTGATTAGCCTTGCTGCAAACATGTCCATATCAGCCATTTTTGCCTAATCTCCAAATTGGTGTCATTGTCAGCGTTCAAAACCTGACCTTCACATCCTCCCACTACTGCCTTATCAACTCATTTGCACAAATGTCTGTTGAGCACCTACTGGGTGCCAGGCAAGGAGGTGCTCTAAATACAGAGGAATCTTACATGGAGTCTGCTTTCCAAGGACTTTATAATTTATTTGGGAAAAGAAGTCACAAGCACTTGCCAAGTAAAGAAACAGTAGAGAAAATATAATCCAGTAAACTTGGTGGCCATCAGAGCTAGTCCTGGGCCAGGGAGAAGGAAATATCAAGCAAGTGGTAGATCAGAGGATGACCAGCCTGAGCCTGTCCCTTCACACTTGAAGTTCTTTGCCCCTTTCTTAGTTGCACTATTACTTATCACTTCGTTCACCCCACTCTAGTGGCAATGGTGACAAAAACACACTTTCCTTTTCTTTCATTCATATTCTTCTTTGACCTTGCTTTCTTTGGTCTAATAATACATCCTAGCCTTACCCCTATCTACTGACTCTATATTGATGGTTTCTTCTCTTCCAAGTCTCAGCTTACCTGTCAGCTCTTTCCAGGAACCTTCTCTGACCAACAACCAGGAGTGGCCTTGTGCTCATTATTCTGCATCCAGCATCTTAGCCTGCTTCACAACACAACAATCTGTAATTGTTTATGTCGAGGACCCACATACTTGACTATAGCTTCAGGAGGGCAGGCACCTTGTCCAACTTGTTGATGCGGTATTCTAGCATCTGGCATTGGTGGCTGCCATATCTTAGGTCCTTTTCTTATGATAATTCAATGATACATTAAGCTTTGCTCAGTGAAAATGTCCATTCTGTGTGCCGTGGTCAGTTCACACTGAGCTACAAAACCTGACAACTTCAGGGCTCAGTTTCTTCCTGAGGGTCTTGATACACAAATTTCGCAGTGATGAAGGCTTATTATGGTCTCTTTAAGGCATGCAAAGTGCAGACTTAACTGTTATCCAGGTTTTCCATGTACTTATTTTGTGCATGACTTCACAACAGTAATCACCCAATTACATCAGTAATTATTCCCAATTAGAATGTAACCCTTGAAGGTAGGTAAGCAAAGTGTGCAGCCCAGAGACCTGACTTCTTAGGAGCTTTCATTGCATGTTTGACTTTGGTAATGGCAACAAAGATTGAATTATTGACCACTGTATTCCCAGTAAAGACAAAGGAAGTCTCAGGAAGACATGACCTGGTACAGTTATTTCTGTGTTCATAAAAAATATGTTTGGCTTTAGGTTTATTTCCTTCTACTTAATCATTTAATCACTGTACTTTCTGTTCCCTTTCACTGGCAAAGGAGCTTGGGCAAAAGCCCAGCTAATTCATTCTCCATCACACAGGGACATTACTGCCTGTCAACCACACCTAAGCCTTAATTACATGGTGATTGCTTCTCCAGGGATATGTGACCGTTTTAACTAGTTGATGCACTAAAGTCATCTGAGGAAAAAAAGTTAAATCTGGGCACAGTATCCAAAAATCCATGTGGAGTAATCTTATTCCACTGAATCATGTCCCCTGCTGTAGGGCAGGCCCGAAGAAGTCCTCGTCAGTAGGTGAGTCCGTCTGCTGGAGTGGAAACCCAAGTCATCTGGTGTCACTGTGACTCATGTCACGACCACCATCATCTGAAAGTTGGCAAAGGATTCAGATTGCCCAATGCATAACAAGAAGAAGCCAGGATAGTGGAAAGACCTAGTAAAGATCGTGATTATACAGAAAATAATAACTAGAAGGAAGAGCAACCTAGGATAAGGACAGAGCCCTTTGGGTCTCCACCTGGGCCATTCTTTCCCTTGCATATGTTTCCAATGTGCCTTCAATGCCAGTTACAGGCATTCTTCTTCCCCCTTCCTTACATCTTTTGTTTTTTATGTTTCTTTCATTTTTTCATTTTTCCCAACTTTTCAATTGCTTTATAGAGAGGACCTTGATGGTGACAGGTTGAAATCAGAGCAGGGACAATCTGGGACAGGCTGGTGTTTAATTCCACTACAAAACCATTCTCCAGCCATTGACAGAATTTTCATTTCATTTGCCAGCTTTCTTATTTCTTTTTTTACCCCTCTGCATTCTGATTAAAATGGCACAGGGTTGAATGATGCATTTAACTGACTCAGAAGTCAGCATCTTTAAAATTAAATAAACTTGGAGATTTTATGAAGTCAGAGGACTCTTACAAAACATGTAATACTGATTATGTGAGTAAATGTGAGAAAGGATTTTAGAAAAACAGTTTTTATAAAGATAGTCTTTGTCATAAATCAGTTGAAGAAAATGTGTGTGTGTGTGTGTGTGTGTGAGAGAGAGAGAGAGAGAGGTATAACTGATTTGGACAAAAGTGAGAATGTATTAAGCTACATTCATTTCATTTTTACCTAACTGAAGAGAAACATAAAATATTTAAGAGAAAAATCTTCTCTTTCCTTGACATTTAGCCATGTTCTGCAGTCCCCTGCTGGGCTTCTCCACTTTGATGT